GTCATTTGAGTACACAACATCAATGCCATTCATTGTCTTCAAACTGCTTTGAATATACGTTGCTGAGCTAGCCCTGACGGGTGCAACAGCAACGCCAGACGTCCACACGCTCAGAGTGTCCGTGGGAATAGAGCCAAGCCCTTCCAGCAGCCTGAAATGGGAGTAGCTTTATCAAGACCCTGTCTTGAGACCATCCACTTTATATTTTGCTTTGCAGAAGCATCTTGGGAGGTCAGCCACGCTAGGACAAGCCACGCGATATTGAACTGCAAAGTTGTGACAATCATTTGACATTCTTCATCATTTGAAAATATAACTTAATTTTAAAATGTACTTTTTAAACAAAAACATTCTTCACTTATTTCCTAATTTGATCTGAAGTCCTAGAAGCATCAGCTTAAACTTTACATGATTACGGTCACATCATAGGGTTTTGTCCAAAGTCTTTTTGTATACCTACAATTTCATTGCTGTGATCAACACTTCCGTTTTACCCTTTAGAAGGCTGCTATGATACTTTGTAGCACTACAATAAATAAATTCATTTAAAAGCTGTTACGTCTCCACACCTGGGGACTACTGCATACCACCATGAAGGTAGAAATAGGCTGAATGCTTCTCAAATAGGAAGGTTATAGTGGAGTTTCTAAACAGTCAACTGAAACAAATTTAGCTTTATTCTGAATCAAAATGAAACATTCATAAAGTTTTCCATAAAAAGTCCAATGCTTTGTTTTTCCAAAGTGCAAAACCAAATTCATAAATGAAACATTTCACAGCATTTCAGTAGAGGTACCTATTATTGCAACTTGTATTGGTAAATATTGCAAGTAACAATAAGATAAAAAATATTATATCCCACATATTTTTGAAACTTTGACATTATAATGTCAAAATGACAGCACTAGTAGTTTTAACAGACAGTATGGCAAACATTTTTTAAAAGTATCTTTGATCACCTCTGCTCTTGAGCACCACAGCAGACCTTAAAGCTGAACACAAACAAAGCAACAACCTGCCAGTTCTGGTCTCCAT